CGTGTGTGTGTGTCTCACCCTCTCCTCGCGGCTCTGCAGCGCTAGGCAGATTTGTTGCAGGTTGTACAGCTCCTCCAACAGCCCTCGGCTCCCCTCCCTCGGCTCACCATCCTCCTCCTCCTCGCCACTCCACACCTCCTGCCTCAGGCCGCTCACCATTCTGCACAGGTTGGTCAGTGACACACGCCAGTAGGGGGCACTCTGCTTATTCTGTTTCATCTGCAAAGAGGAGACACGTTTGAAAGGGGTTAGGTTTCAAATTGAATTCAGGAAATGATCGATTTTACAAATTTGAAACTTGGCAATAAATTAGATCCTCGCTGTGATGGGGTTGACTTAATTCAGGTTTCAGAGTTACGAACTGAGGTGAAGTGAAAAACGATTTTAAATTTGATGGTCTATTGTATTTCCCTATTCAACATTCAGCCTTTCTGCACAAAATGTAATATAGATTTTTTTTCCTTGGTCATCAATGTGCTGCTTTGAGCATTAAATCCAGAAATGACTCAATAACACAATAAATTTAATCCAATCTTATCCAATAGTAACCCTGCTATAATTGGTACACATATGTAGCGTAAAGAACCACTGAATGGTAAGTTTACAAAGTGATGCAGTACAGTGTCTGTAATTCAGCACTCCATATGTACAGATTGTAGAGATGATTCTTATGTCATAGAAATCGTCTTTCATGATGTAGCCATGTATCTCAGTATCTTCAAAATGATGTGTCCCAGTTCTGAATCTCACTCATCATGAATAAATGTGTTCAGTTTTGTCTTTTATATTTCAATTAAGAATACTGATTTGAATTTAAGCTATGAAAGGACTAATCCTCCCATAGCTTAAGTTTTATGAACAGATGCAGTGGCTCAGCCTGCCTTAATGAGCTGCTAACCCACCACAATGCATTTAATTTGCTGCATTTAAGTGCTGTGCTCTAAATGCTATTTTGGAGGTTTTCCACACTCAGAACAATTTTATTTGCTGTTATTTACAGCTGAAGCAATAAAGGCTTTGGCAAGTCCCTTTAAAAGGCACAGAGGATGCAGTGTTTGAGATTTCCACTTTACATTGTGAGCACTGATGCAGACTGCCACATATTAAGACAGACAGCAGTTAAGATATATGTGTACTATTGCCTCTTCTTAGGCACCAGACACCCAGAGTGATATTTCAGTCACATCTAACCTCATCAAGCTGCAGCCAGCCTAATCTAGTCTGAGTGCTTTAAGATGGTGGAGGGATCCGGGGGGCCCCTTGTGCGGGTCGGCGATCTCAGACACGCTGCCGCAGAGACCACTGTGTGTCACTGAGGATGATGGAGAGATTCAGAGGGCGAGGGGATATTGTCGCTTTTAAGGTATTGTAAATGGCCACAAGCCCACAAGACTCACATTGTTTATGAGCAGCAGAGGAATATAGTGTCCTCTGACGTAAAGACAGTAGCCATGTCAAATACAGGTTCCTTTTATATGCCGGGGGGGGGGCAAGCTGTAGAGACATCAAGAGAACAACACACCAGGGACCGGACATAAGTAGCTACTGACATTTTGAAATAATTCATGCATTAAAGATTTCTGTGGTTTTCATTTTGTTTTAAATTAACTTTGTGAGTGGGGCCAGGTGTAGTTTTAATTGTGCTAAAA